GGAGACTAATAGGGTGATAGAGGAATCAGAAGGTTCTCCAGAGTTCTTAAAAACAGGAACTACATAATAGGACTTCCAACAAGCTGAAAAGCAGGAAGCAGTGAGGCAAATAGTTGGAGAGTTTGGAGAGAGCTGGAGCCATCTTGGGAGTACATTTCTCTAGGATGATGGCTGGGCTCCTGTCACCTCTACTTGCCTTATGGGAGTCTAATTTAGAAATGATATCTGCGACCATAGTGATGGGGATATGTGTGCATATCACTCAGTAGAGCCTCTGTTCTAGTGGGGAAATCAGGTGTGAATACTCCAATTCAGTCGAGTGTTGAGTTAAGAGAGAATTTCCGAGCAAAGCATTCAACCTTATCAGCTGTAGATATCTGAATTGATTGAACAGAAGAAGGATTGAGGATTTGCTGTTGTTCAGCACACTCTTGCAGAGCTACCAATAATCTCTAGAACCAAATGTTATGCGTTGTTTTATTCTATCAGCAAACAGTAACATTATTTCATTGAGGACATGATTGCACTCCTTATGAGCAAAGAGATGTCTGTTGCAATCAGATGTGTCGCTCTGGTACAACTGGAGAGAAACGATTCCTGTGGACTATAGCGACTGAGCATGCAGATGAGAACCAAAGAAATGAATGCGATTTAACTTGGTATTTCCTTGCTGGAATGAAAGTATCAATACCAGCTTTCACACTGAAGGAAACCTCAGATACGCATTTTTGAACAGGATGTTTAAAAACTTCATTCCATGGGACATCATAAAGGAAATCACAGAACAACTCCCAATTTGCTTGTTGATAACAGAAAGATATTCTATTGCTAGGATATTCTTTGCTGGTGGGAGAGTGGAAAAAGATGTTTACAGACACTACCATATGATCAAAGTTGCCAAGGAGTCAGAGCTGTGTAGTACATCATGAATCAAGGATAGAGGTAAAAAAAGAGATGTAGAAGTGTGTCCATCAGGGTTACTGGGGAAACACATGGGGGAAGTCCCCACTGTGAGAGATTGAGATTGAGAAGTTCAGGGTTTTGATGCCAGCAAGATCAGTGACAGTGTGTTTAAGCCACCTGGAATGGTGTGCATTTCTAAATGGGTGTAGGAAGATGGCCTTGTCTATTTTATCAGAAATACTCTTTAGCATGCAACAGTCATGATAGGAAGGGGTATGGTAGAAAAAGAAGAGATAGTTGACTGAGTTTAGTAGAGAGAGACGGAGACACATGTAAGAATGGTTTGGAGATTCAAGAGAGAGTTCCTTAACTAGCTAGTGGGAGATGTTTGTGGACATAAACTCCTAGGCTATATATGTGGGCATTAGAGTCCTTCCTAAAAAGGGGAAGATAGCCAGTTATCAAGAAATCGGAGGAGGTGGATTGAAGAGTTAAGATTATTTTTGCAGAGAGCTAGGATGTCTGGAGACTTTTCAAAGAGGAATTGATTAAAGCGACTGCAAAAGTTGGTATGAATACCACGAATGTTGGAAAAAGAAAGGTTGAAGGGTTTAGGTATTATTTGTTGAGCTGGTTTAGTTTTATATCTTTGGTTGCTTATAGTCATGGTATGTTATTTTGGTTAGGAAAGGCTTAGGGTAGTAGTAGTAGTAGCAGTTGGTCAAATAATGTAACATGTGCAGGAAGGGAATTGGTGCAGACTGCAACATAGTCTGGCCTTGAGATTGCCCACTAGAGGTACTTGTAGAGGTACCCTTCCATGCTCAACAAGGCACTGCAAGAACCTCAATATTATGTAAGTGTTGATCAGAGCAGCCTCTGAAGATGCTATGCAAGAGTTCAGGCTCCTAACTCCCAGTTGAGAATGGAAACCAGGAAACTGCCTACCCAGTACCCTCAGTATGAAGGGATGTTGTAACCAGATATATAAGGCCTGAGAAAAGGAAACAAGGGATGAGTGTCTACTCCTGTTCAAAAGAAGGTGGGGGATTATGGACTGGCAATAGGAAAGCCTATCTACTCCTGTTGAAAATTAGTCTCTTTTTTTTTAAACTTAGTTAAAGTTGAGATGTCTATTAGAAATTCAACAAAGAATTAAAACTGGCGGGCATCTGCCTCTGAAAGAACTTTATGAAAAGAAAAAATAACAGTCCTGGGTTGGACTTCCAGTTATTTCAAAGTATCTACATTCAGATAATTTATTTGGAGAGTTGATCTGTGGCCCACATAACTTTTGGACCATATGATGTTTAACAGACATTCTAGTATATTAAGAGGGAGAGGAGGTAATAGGTAGTGTGTGTGGGGATGGTCTGTCCCTAGAACCATGGGTGGATGGCCAGTAGCAGAGCTTGATAGCAGCAGGATAAAAAAAAGGAAAGAAAAACAAAAAAAAAACAACACAATGGCTGTTAAAAATTAAGATTAATTGTAATCAAAATGATGAACAACTCAAAAATGAAATTTAAATCAAATTTAAGCACTCAAATTTCATGGAGAACATCAATTAGAAAAAGAAAAAAAGAATTCAAAAGGAAGATTAGATGGGGTGAAGGTTACTTCTGGGAAAAGACAAAAAAAAATATCAGAGGACCAATTCAAACAAGACTATTTTACATTCTAATGTCTCATTGATGTTTTAGTTTTCCAAAGCTGATCTGATCAAAAGAGATATTGCTGTGATTAATATTAACAGAGATTTTAAAGCATAAAGTCATTCTTAGGAGGATGGGGGGAAATAATACTGTTTTATTCATTTTTATTGTTTGTTTTTATCATTACACTGTTATGGTTTTCAGTTTGTATCTAAAATAGGATTGAATTCTATTTCTGACATATCAACCAAAATAACTTTTTAAGAAATATATGTTAACAGACTGATTAGCTTTGTTTTTTAAGCAGGAATTCATGTTCCAAAATAGGTCATTTCTAAATCCATTCTTTTTTTTTCTTCAAGTTGACTGTCAGTATCCAGTTTTAAACTTGCATTAAAATTAATTTACACAACTTAAAGATATAATTTAAAGTCATCAATTGAACATTTTTCTTCATTATTTTATTGCCTTTTTCTTTCATAAGATGATAAAACTGAATGAATCATTTGTGGAATGTGACAAAATGGTTTTCCTCTTTACAACTTCTTTGCAAAAAGAATTGTTACTGAATAAGAAATATTTACTTTTCTTCTCTATTCCTTTCTGGTAGGATGACAAAATGTCACCCTTTCTCTATCTTTCACTCAACTGAAAATTTTTATCAACTGATTAACAAGATCACACACACACACACACACACACACACGCATGACCTGGTTAACCACTTAATGAAATGCATCACAAGAAATTCTCTTACTCTTTCTCGCCCTATATATATATATATATATATATATATATATATATATATATATATATATATATATATATATGTAATTTTGAACAATAAAAAATAAAATTTTCAGACACACTGGGTTGTATATTTTTTTGTTTATTATTTCAATTAGTTTCAGCCAGCATGGCCATCATCAGGAGAGAAAAAGTTCCTGCTTGTTAGTAGCAGTGAACTACAGGAATGAATGACTTTCTGAAGAAAATGAACTTTATCTGTAGTTTTCATTTGTTTTTTATTGTTAGTTTTGGTCAGTCCTTGTGTTGGTCAACCGGCCTCTTTTAAGTTGTTTTTTTTTTTTTAGATAGAGGCTGGGGAGATTCCTACGAATTCTCTTGGTCATTTTGACAGTTTTATTGGTTGCTGGGAAGTTGATGTGTGTGTGTGTTAAGTGTATGTTATCATTTAGCTCTTTGGGAGTGTGTGATGTGTGTAAGTGTGAGACCTCAACACCCCGGCAAGCATGTCCCACCTGATAAAGAGGTCAGCATGTCAAACAAACTCCACATCTTTCCATCTTTATTTTGTGTCTCTTTATTACGATGGATGTAAATACATCTCTTTTCTTCTTTATTTCTTTTTTCTTTTCCTAATTTTGCTTGCATGTTTTTCATCTTCCACTTCCTCAATCATCTTTGCCCTGTCAAGAGATATATATCTCCCCCCCCCATTTAAACCTGCCTCCTCAACCACGTGTGCATAAATTAAAAATAATAATACTGAATTCTTTTTATACCTGGAATATTTGTCACCCATTTATTTGTTTGGAAATGTTGATCTAAGGAATTAGAATTGAATTTCAATTTTAAGGAAATAAATTATAATCACCATGAACCTTTAAAGTTGTCTGTTTATTAATATAATTAATTTTATATATATATATATATATATATATATATATATATATTATCACTTACATTTTATGCTTTATACACAAAGACTCAAACCTCAGCATAATTCATTTTAAATCTAATAATGAAATAAAAATTCAATAACATGAAATTAATTAGCTATAGTTTAAGTACACTTTTCTTTATAACTCCTCAAAATATATAGAATTTCAAATTAAATATTTCTAATTATAAGACAGATGTTTACTTTCCTTGATGTGTCTAAATATGAATCTGTAAATTTCAAGAAAAATATGCAACAATTTGAAATATTTTGAGGGACTATATTATGATAAATTTTAAAAATTATATTGATATGTAATGAATCCATCAGATATATTGTTAAATTATTATTTGTTTGGAACTGTATTGATTTCAAGCCCTTAACATTTATTTTCCACAATTTGAATATTCTAAAAAAGATTTCAGAAACTATATTTACTACTTAAGTTACAACAAATTCTCACCATACATGGTTTTAATAGTTGTAGTTTGTTGGTTTTCAGATTTTATAATTAAAAATATTACAAAATATTTTATTTATTCATTATTTAATCTTATTTTTCATTGCTTTAATAAAGTGTGCAAGTAGCTTTGAAAGTGTCCAAATTTAAAAACAGAATTATTTAGATAATCTTGTGCTAAAAGATTTATAATTCTATCAACTTTTTCTTCATTGGAAAATATTTTTGATTTTAAATTTAAAGAAATTATTCTTTTCTCTCTCTCTTTTTTTTTTTTTTTTTTTTTTTTTTTTGTTAGGCTGATCTGCTGAAAGAATTAGAAAACAGACAAGATGCTATTTTTGCCCGGCTTCACAAAATCCAAAATGAATTGGATAAAATGTCAGTTGGTAGTGACAAGAAAATGACTACAACAGAACAATCTTCACTGGTCAGTATATATTTTAACAAGAAATATTTGTCCAATTTTATACTTATTAAATTTCAATTGCATATTAATATATTAATAAATTTTATTTAATTATAATTTCAATTGTACAGATTTGAGCATTTATAATTATGCTTTGTAGGACTGAAGTACTTTTTTCTAGAATGAATTCTTGTTATTTGAAAACTCTCAGTTTAGATCTTTACAGTGCTAGGACACACCCTGTGCTAACCCTTACAGTGCTAGGACACACCCTGTGCTAACCCTTACAGTGCTAGGACACACCCTGTGCTAACCCTTACAGTGCTAGGACACACCCTGTGCTAACCCTTACAGTGCTAGAACATACCCTGCTAACTTCCATGGAGTCAAATCTCTCTCATTTCTTCCATATTACAAATGTAAGGAGAAGGTTTCCATCAGGCAACTTTTTACCAACTCCCTGCTACCCCAAGAACTGCTATTTTGTGAAACAGGTACCATTATGGATAGATGCTTTCCTGAAACCTATAATCTTAACTACTTCAACTCAAGAGGCAATCATTATCTATCCTCCTTTTCCTTTATAATCTGCCCTTTTCTATCATATTCTCTTTTATTTTCTCATACACATCATTCATCATATATCATCTTAACAGTAACACTCTACTTTGACTGGCTCTTGGGGGAACTTTACTATTAAAAAAAAAATAAAACAAAATTGAGAAAAGAAAATTTCTGACTCAAGTTCATACTGGCAACATTAGTTTTCAAATTCAAATCTCTACTCACACGACCCTATTTTCTCTCCAATATTTTATTCCTCTTTTGGGATTTTGTAAAATCTCTGGTAAAAATATAAGGAAAGAATCTATTTTTAATGTCTTTGTCACAACAAAAAAGTTGTTACTTGATAGACAACAGTATGTTAAAAAAAAATTTTATCAAAATGTTCTGTTATTCTCATATGAGAACAACTTTTGATGTTTACTACTCACAATGAACCAATTGCTTTTTATTGATTGTAATAAAAATTGTTTTTGAAAACCCAATATTGGTCTAATTACTTTTACTGACCTGGTTTTTCATTCTTGTATTGAGTGATTTATTTCTCAGCTAAACAAGTACATTAAAAATAATTTATATGTCATGGCTTTATTGAAGCAAAAACCCCTCAGGATAGCATAAATGTTTCAGTGATTCTCTTTAAGATTTAAAATCAATCCTTACTCACTTCATGATGTTTTGCTCTTGTTTGCTTTGTAAATGGAATAGGGAAATAAAATTGCTCTGACTTACAGGATGGAAAAAATGTAATGAACTCCCTCTCCTTTTTTTAGTGGTATTGAAAATTTTCTTCTCTTTGTTTCTTTATTAGAAAATTTCATTTCAAGATCTCGTGATTGGAGTCGATCCCAGTCATATACCTTTGTCTCTGTTGGTCCTTTATGAACAATTGTCACAAATCTTCAAAGTGAAAGTATCAGTGTTTGTCCATTCTACTGTGAAGAAATCCCCTATGTCGCACATGCAAAGTCTGTTTAAATCAGCCCTGCCAGCTAAACAACCAGATGATTGTCGCACAACCAATGATTTACTTCTCACATTTATTTACAAACAAGGTCAGTCCAATTTATCAATTTTTTTTTTCAACAATGGATTATATTTATAAAAGCATTAACAAAACAGCATTGAGTTTAAATCTTAATTTGAAGGAAGCATTTAACGAATCATTTTTGCAATATTAGATATTGTTCTTGTTTAAGAACTTCAAGCAATTGTCATCAAAATGGTAGATGTAAACCATTATTTGGGGATTAGTATTCTTTTATGATTCCATTTCGAGAATGAGAGTGAAGTAGCTTCTGCTACTTACCAATATCATTATTTATTCAAAGTATAAAATAAAAAATATATTAAACCTTCTGACTATGGATGCACATTCTGGTCTTGACTGAAAATGTCTCCAATCAAATCCAGAGAAATTGATTTGTTTTCATTTTAAGAAATAAAAATGTTTCACATTTTTTTTTCTCCTTTCATTTTCAGTGAATTTTAATGAGGTAAAAATTGTAACCCAATTTTCACAATTTTAAAAATAACCTAATTTGCAGAATGTAGAACGAATTTTGCAAAGCATTTGTTGAGATTCATTCTACTAATTTTCAAAGCTTTTTAAAAGTAAAAATTACTAAATTTGGTCTTACGATAGACATATATATTTCTTCATTCAATATTTTCAATGTTCTTTAATAATTGATATTTCTGTGCATTATTTTTTTTTTAACTAATGATTTACAGAAAAATAATCAAAATGCAAAATGGCTCCATTTGTTTCTATTTAAATAAGTAAACAGGAAATAACTCTCATCCAGACTTTGTAGTTCTTCATATTCTACCAAGTGAAACTAAAAAGAAACTTTTTATCAAAACATTTTAGGAATCAGAGAGCCAAGTTCAAATTCCAATCAAATCCATTACATTCACTTACGTGCTAATACCCTTGAGAAAGGTATGAATCCTCTTCTCTTTGCCCCAGTTATGGGTAAATAGCAGGACAGACTGGGTTCTGTAGCCTTGGATGGCAACTGGTCTACCACAGAAAGAAATGATAACCTACTGTGGGAAAAAAGAAATCTTCTTCGTCAGTCATATATCAAAAGATACATGATCGCCTAAGCATGTATCATGCATGGCACATAAATGACTAATTTGAATACATTTTGACTGTAAAAAAAACATCAAATTTAAAAAAATATATATTCATAAAAAGCTGATTTTTTTTTTTTTCATTAATGTGCAGTTATTGATCTGTTATGTAAAGAAACGTCAAAATAGACATTTCATGAATGGAATCAGACTTATCAGTTAGGACTCATCCTTTATGCAAGAAAACCCAAATTATTTTTATTTGGTAAATCAATCTTCAGATAGTAATTCTATCAAAATTTTTTTTCTTTTAATTATTTAAAAGTTGATCATTTTATTTTAGTCTGAGAAAGTTGTTACTAATTTTCACTGTTTAAAAAATACTCTACGGATCTAGGGTGGGGAAAGAAGAACCTTTTTTAAGTGCCTGGGAAGTTTCCATGGGTGCAACTATTAAATGATTATTGATGTAATCTTATTTTTAAAACTTGCCAATTATTTTTCTTGCAGTACGACAAGATTGTTCTTTGATGGTCAACCCAGAACGCCAGACTTATATTTATGGTGAAGTGAATGTTGCTCGATATCTGTCACGCCTTGCCAACCCCGATTATGAATCTAATCCAGTCACTTCCACACAGATTGACCATTGGCTGGATTTGGCCAGTCTAATGTTGTGGAATGGCAGTGGTAAAGCCAGGTCACAAATGGTTCAAAACATTGACTCAGCATTGACTAAAAGGAAATGGTTGGTTGGTCAAAATCTTTCATTAGCTGATATTGTTGTCTGGTCAGGGCTGCAATATGCCAAAATGATGGACAAGCTGCCTTCCAATGTCCAAGCATGGCGAAAGAACTGCGAGAATCATCCGTACTTTAACCTTGTCAATAAACTGTACAAATGACTTCTCTGACAATAGAAAAGTTCTTTTTACGTTTGAAAGTCATTGTTTTTTCCTTAAGCCCAAGAATCTCCCATTAAAAGTTAAAAATTTACTTGGCTTTTTTTCTTTTTCCACACCTTTATTTATCCTCTTCAAATTATGATATTTTTCCCTCTGAAGTTTGAAAAAAAAAAAAAACAAATTGGGGAAATGTGCAAAAGAACCATTACGACAGGACAGGAGACATTGGTGCAGTTCAAATGTTAATCAGACATTCATACTGATGTTTTTTTTTTTGTTTTTTTTTTTCAAAACATTTAAAGACTTGCAGTTTTTCAGACAAAGGGTTCTATTTTCAAAGATTGCACTAATACCTGGGCCATTGAGAAAAACACTTTTGCAAATATAAAGAATACTTGCTTCTTTGAATTTGGATGATTGATAGCAGCTTTCTTGAGTAAAAAAAACCCCAAAAAACTTTGAAGGGTTATAAAGTATTATATTATTAAAGTAATATTTTTCTCCTGACAACAACAAGGAGGAGGAGGAGGAGGAGGTGAAGGCGGAGGATAGATGGAGGTTTGGGTTTCTTAGGCTTTTGGAATATAATGGCTTCCACTAACCCCATACTGGATTGTTAAAAAATTAAATAAAAACCGCTTGTATTGAGATATAAAACAAATAAATTTTTTTAAAATTCTACTTTGAATTGTTTTACTTTTAATATTTAAACTGAAAAAAATAAAATCTGAATTTAAAGTGGCATCAAACTAAAGATCTGCATATAATTTTGATTGTATAGATTCTATTCTGAATTTGTCAGAATTAGGATCAGTTTTTTTTTTTTTTTTTTTTTCTTAGAGAACTGAAAGGTTTGATTTTGGTAGATTGAAACAAATATTGCCATCTGTCTATATATATCTATTATGTACCAGTGTCACTGAATCTGTTGATCTATTTTCTTCAAGTTTTAAGAATTTAGCTAAAAATATAGTCTAGCTATATTTTTTAATTATCTAAAAACAAAACTTTTTAATGATTTCTCATGACAAGTGATTAAAGAATAGAAACATTAAAAAAGATATTCTGTAAACTGTACAGATCTTTGCAAAGATAATGTTATTTTTAATAAAATCATTTTAATGAGTCATTGAGTGAACCTCAAGTGACATTATTGTTTACTCATCACTTCAAAGTTCTTCCTCTTTTATATTTATTATACTGAAATTTGGAATTTGAATTTTGTTTTGTTCGCCAGCTTCATGACTAAGGTTCATCGCTAAATAACAGCAACGTTGAAGGAAACCTCAGAAAGTAGAAATAGAGATATATTTTCTGCCCTAGTTGCTGATTGTTAGTATTTTTTTGTACTGAGGTCCCTGTGAAATCAGAAATCTACCCAGACAAATAATAATGTCCATTTTAAAGTAGACAAAGTATTTCTAGAGTTTGAATCAATCTTGGCAAATCAAGACATAAATTGTAACTTTTTCAACACTTGAAAATGTTCATACTGTTGAATGCTTTGATTGGATCTCTGAACAAAAAAAAAAGGAAAAAAACAAAGTTGAACATTTTATGCAACTTAACGAGACACTAACGTAATAGACGTGTGGTAGATTTGGCAGAAATTATTTACATGTATGATGAATTAGTACCTCTCTCTTTATATATCTGGTTCAGCATCAAATGTAATACACTTTTCTGATTCTGGAAGTCTTCTGGGTTTTGAAAATCCACAAAGGGAATTATAAAGTCATGTTGTCTAGAGAACCTTTTTAAAAGGTTCATTGTGTTTTACCCAAAAACAACTAAAATCTACCTTTTGATCTGAGATTTCAAGTTGACAGAAGAAGAAATCTGAAAAAGAATTGTAAGGCAAACAAGAAAATCAACAAAATATAAGATTTATTATCAACAGCTTCACAACAGATCTCTTCTTTTGCTATGTCTTCTCTACACTCTTAAAATAGTGCTGTACATATTTTCAATTGTAATAGCAGTAGTAATAGTTATGGTGGACTTCATTCATTAACTATATGACACATTCTTATACTTTGTGAAAAAAAGATTTTAGTTCTTAGCTTTTCAGTTATGTCGAGGAGAGTTGTTAGCTTATCTGGGAGGCAGGAACTGAACTTTCCCTACTCAGGGTTTTGAGCAACAAAGACTTCAAAGGCAGGTCACTATTGTCATCAGCACATTCCTGAGCGGAGCAGTAAGGATTTGAGAGGACATATGGTAAAAGCCTGTCAAGGTTGTACAGCCTCCCCATTTAAATATCTATTTATCAGTTTGACAATTGATGGATTGATCACAGCCACTTACAACTTATATATGCTGTTTTGGCCATTTTCTGAGTTCCTAGGAACCAGATAGCCATATCCTATCATCATTTTGGTCAGTTTCTGGATCTATGTGTTTGGTAAGAATTAATGTGTTTCTGGGAGGTTAGTATTTGAGTAAACAATCCAAAATTGCTGTATCCTAATTTTTATTGACTAATTAGTCAACACTTTATCTCCAAAATAATTTCATATACATAATTTCCACTTTAACAAATTTAATTGAGGGTTTCAATTTCTCTCTTACAGTGCATTTTATAGTTTTAAAACCTTTTTTTTCACTTTTCATGAAATTTTCATGAATTTTCTTAATGAATATTGATTTTCTCACAGTTCTAAACTATCTAAAGGGTGTGTTAGGCACCCTCCAGGGTTCATAACTCTGTGATACAATCTGATGGTTGAATAATATGCAGCCACACCCACTATAGATAAAAATAGTTATATTGTTAGAAGTGTTGATTTTTGTTAATATAAGTTTATATTGAAAAAAGAAAGGTTTTTAAAACTAGGCAAAAAAAGAAAAAAAGAAAGAGCAAACAGTGTTGTACTCATGATTTATCCACTGGATATAAATTTCTATTAATTATTACAGTTGAAAGTTGAGTAATCCTTGCAACAATGGGAATAATTTATTTTAATTTCAAATCGATACCTGTAAAATTATGATACCAAAAAAATAACTAATAAAATTTTGTACTCACAGGAACGTATTTCATCAACTCCTTTGCTAGATGCCGAAGTCTAAGGGAGATAAATTCTGTTAATAAAGTTAATACACAACTTTTACACTTGTTTCTTTAGTACTTGTGTTTCTCCGTAATGAAAATTTTAATCTAAAATTAGCAAACAATCTCATCAGATTGTATGACATAAATACTATCAGTGAAGCTTACTCATTCCAAGGTCTTAAAATCAGCATTTTACTAATTTCAGAATTATCAGAAAAAAGGTGCATTGAATTAAAAATTGACACATTTTTGTTGTTAAGGAAAACGTTTGTTTTGTTTGTTTAAATGGCATATCATATCAACTCCTTATGGGTCATTTAATGACAAAATTCAATTTTCATGGGAGCTTTGAAGTAATAAAATATGACGTTATTCTGCTTTCACAATTAAATACTTGGTAGATGATATTCAGCTTTTGTTCATATACATGTTTGTGTGGGCATGATTACTAGACAAGGTGATATTTGTGTTTTATGTTGTAGTTGAAGTTATATTTTGGAATCTAGTTTGATTGTAGGATTATTATGTAGATTAATGTCATGAAAGAGTTCTTTCATGTTAGTTGTTTGGTTGATTTTGTTTATGGGTTGTTTAATGCTGAAATCTAAATATTTTGAACACAATTGTTTGCCTTACAGATAAAATGTATTGTTGGTCATTTAGTTATAAATAGGTATTGTTGCTCTTTTTACCATAAATAGGTATTTTTCTACTTTCATAGTGTTTTGTTTTTGTTTGTTGGTTCACTATTAGCTCATAGCTGGGACCCTAACAGTTGCTACCCCCCCCCCCCCCCGGGTCAAGGTGGAGCTGTGAACAACAACAACAACAACAACAACAACAATTAAGAGGTGGTTCCATGTTCTTCAAAATCTCCAATCACTTCAGAGTAGTTTATCGTCATATCCAGTATGAAAGGAAAACGTGACAGCAGCAAAAGTTGCTTAACAATGATTTAAACATGTTCCTGTATCGTAATTAAAACACATTTTAAAACAAAAAAAAAAAAGAAAAGGAATTATAGTTACAATAGACAATAAATTAAAAAGAAAACCTGATCAGTTTTTATCTATATTTCTTCAGAACTCTGTCAAAGATTAGATCAAGCTCTGAAGAATAACAAATGAAAAACAGACAGCTCTCTTTTTTACATCAGTGAATAGTTGAATAACAGATAAAAGGTTTTAGATATATTTTAAAGAAGTAATACAGAAAAGTGACTTGAGAAAATTCCAATCTTCAAAAACTTAATTTTGGAAGGTGAAAACTCGTGTTCAAGTTGTTTCCACATACACCATACCACAGTGGTTAGCATGCAGACTCATGGCGAATGCCTAAGGCACTGGTTCTTTGAATTTGCAGGGGAAGTAAGCAAAAATCAACAATGCCTAAATGATGGATAAATAATTCTTGTCAATAAAAAATCAGGGACCAAACAATTTGAACAACAATGGACTGCTGAATGTTTCTCAGTTAAATCAAAAAGTGAGTCCTAAAGAAATTTTGGTTTGTTTTTTTTTTTGTGAAGTCAGTCAGGCTGAGAACTTTTCAGCTCCCCTTAGATTTCCAACTAGAAGAAACAGTGTATTTCAATTTTAAATTGACATCAGGTTCCATTGGAACAAAGCATCTAAAGAAATTTCAACAATAAAATACAAAAATTGATAGAAAAATGATGTGAAAAGTTTTGCAATTGTTTTCTTAAACTGATTTTTAATCCAGTTATACACTTTATATTAGTTATAACTTTTAGCAAATAAAAATAGAATAACTTTTAATCAGTTATACACTTTACATCTCTTTTCAGAAGTTTTTTGCTTTAAGTATTTTAAGTTGAAACATTTTTTGATTAATTGTTCATATTCTTAATCAACAAAATGCAGTTTTGGTGAATTTTACTTTAGAAACCATTTCAATTTTGTATTTTTATTCCAACTCAAATTGAATAGCTTATTTATTGACTGAGCTTTGATCTTTGATGTATTAAAACTGAGTTAAAAGTTTTGCAGCAGACACAGCAGTATTTTGAATATATTCTTATTTACATGGCAAACATCATTTTTGTTTTTTTATCCAAACATTTGCTGATAACAACTGAATGTAATTTTGTTGGTGAAAATTTCTAAAATTAAGATTAAAATAATTTCACACATGATTAAGAATCAACAAAAGTAAAAAGAAATCTTGTATAAGGAATACAAAAAAATGAAAGTTTTTCAATTTATAAATATTTTTATTAATTTACATTGTAATTTCCCTTAGTCGGACTATTGTCCTCATCTTTGTCGCCATATTTGTCACAACGTTTCGGCTGTTGTACACTCCAGCCTTCTTCAGGTGGTTGGAATTTCGAACTGAACCCTTTATTTTGATCACTGAGGTAGACTGTTCTAATTCCACGTTCCATGTTTGATGGATGTCAGTTATCAGTTATCTCCTGCTAATTTTCCCTCTGAAAGTTCTCCACTGCCTTAAGAAATGGCATTAGAATCTATATCGCTAAAGCCAACTATATGGTTAAGGTACGTAGATGACACCTTCATACTCTGGCCACATCAGGAAGATGTCCAGGTTCTACTGGACCATGTGAACTCAATAAGGCCTTCGATACAGTTCACAATGGAGAAAGAGAGTAACAACTCACTCCCATTCCTGGATGTACTAATATCTCGAACAGAGCATGGGTTCAAGACATCCGTATACCGCAAACCAACATTCACCGGACAGTACCTCAATTTCGATTCCCACCATCCATACAGCGTAAAGAAAGGGATCGTCCGATGCTTACAACACCGAGCAAAAGTCATAAATGGCGATCCAGAGACATTAGATAAGGAATTGGTCAGTATAAGTAGTACCCTACAACGTAACAACTACCCTGGGTACATGGCAGCAGCCCCCAAAAACTGGGATAGGCAGGTACAAGAGGAGGAGGAGGACAACAACACTCAGAAAACAGTCTGCCTGCCTTATGTGAAGGGGTTATCAGAGAAAATACAAAGGATCTGCGGTCCATATAACATCAGGACAACCTTCAAAAGCGTCACAACACTTTGCAGATATCTCTCACGAGTGGGACCCCCCACAGAGGGGAACATGACTAAAGTCTGTATGTATGCTATCCCGTGCAGCTGCGGAAAGGAATATAAAGGAGAGACAGGCCGCCCCCTCAAGGTAAGGATTCAAGAACACCAGAAAGCTGTAACGCCGAGGGGAAGTAGAAAAAAATCAGGCGTGGCTGACCACATATGGAGAGAGAAGGAGATCACCGCCCCCTGTGGGATCATGTTGAGATCATAGATAGGGAACACCATGGGAAAATTCGTAAACTTAAGGAATCAGCACATATGCTAGGCCACAAAAATCTCCTGAGCCGACCAAGCATAGAAATAAATACAATATGGGAACCAGTAATAAGGAGTGCCAGAGAAAAGCAATGATAACAAAGTTGCAATATGAACTCTGGTAAAGACATGAAATAATAACAGCAAAATTGCAATATGAGCACTGGAAAAAAAATGATGCTGAAAACATTAGGTTTATAAAACTCAGAAGTTCATAACCAGATATCCTCAAGGACACATGGCACAGTGGATAGAGGGGTTGGTTAGATCCAGTGACAAACCCAAAGAAGGTTAAGGCAGTGGAGAACTTTCAGAGGGAAAATTAGCAGGAGATAACTGACATCCATCAAACATGGCACGTGGAACTAGAACAGTCTACCCCAGTGATCGAAATAAAGGGTTCAGTTCGAAATTCCAACCACCTGAAGAAGGCCGGAGCATACAACGGCCGAAATGTTGTGACAAATATGGCGACAAAGATGAGGGCAATAGTCTGACTAATGTAAATACTGTACATAATACCTCATCTCAGAAATATAGACAGACTTTGTAATTTCCCATACTATTGTTTTAATTGTAATTAATTTTGATAAAAAGTTCACATTTTCTAGAGTTTTCACTAATAAAATAAATAAAAAGATTACAGAATATAAATTTGTGAAATGAATTTATTTTACATGTGAATGTTGCTTTCCAGCTTTTAAATCATTTGAATATTGTGAGAAAAATGCCCTTTTTTAGAAAGCATAATTGGTGACACTTGAACGAACTTCATCCAATCAATAATATTGCACAATATCAAACACTGCACTTCCTTTTCAAGTTAAAATAAGTGTCCTTGTATACTATTATTGCTATACATGCCACAATGTTACAATATCCAATTTAATTACATATTAAAAGCCAAAGATTACACACAAGACACAACCACTAAAGCTTATTTGTACATGAAGACAAATATCACATCAAATTTTATCTTGTACATTTATGGATCAACTTGAAAGCCTATAGAAGAATTTAAAACACCTTCTTTTCTTCCATTTTTATTTAAGTCTTTACTGTTTACAATCTTTCTTTTGTTTTTGTTTAATGTTTACAACATTCAATTTAATTCAAACCATTTTTATTTTATTCTACTTTCATTTCTTCTAATTATTTTCTGTTATTTTACATTATTTTTTGTTTTCAAATGCCATGTCACTTCGAGACATAGGCTATCATAACTCTCCACAGCTTCCTTTTCTTTATTATGTGTGAATTGTCATCCATTGTGGACTGGTGCTTACAGAATCACAAAGAAAGAACTGTACCAAATAACAGAAACTTGAGGACTGCCAAGAGCAGCAACAACTAAAATGGATAGCACATGGAAGTCTAAGAGAAAATGACATAATCAAGATGCTGACATTCCACATGACTTCAAACAAAAGGTTAGGAAAGAACACCCTCCTAATACTAGAAAGAGTAATAACAGCTAGTGGACTTGAGAAACTTATTTTCCTGAAAAATAGTTTTAAAAAGAAACATTTTATAAATTTCAAATGATAGTTGTACATGCTACTCTGTCAATGAATGCTGAATGTTTCCTTATAAGGAAACGGTTAATATTATCATTAACATGGTGGAATGATTTCCTGTTGCCTTCACTACAGTTTTTTGAATTTAGGGTTTTCTTTCTCTTAGACTAGTTACCCAACCCCTAAGGCTAGAAATCCCAGTTCTGCTATTTAACCCATAACAGGAGGAAGAAGAAGCTCATTCATGCCTTTCTCAAGGGCATTTGTGTGAAAGTGTGCACAACACACTAGCCCAAAATCTGAACATGTCTCCCTGCTTGCACTTTCTGTACTAATGTCCTTTACACTACTCACCATGGTGTTCTTTACTTCAGGCCATGTCATAGTGCTAGTCAAGGCCAGAAGTGAAATCTCATCGTTTCTCTTATGGATTGTCATATTACTTTCTTATCTGTATTTTCCTCTAGGCTTAAGGTCACATCACTTTGAAACACTGATTGCCATATGATCACCAAAGTTAGGCAACATCGAGTCTGGTCAGTACCTATATGGGTGACCACGTGGGAATGCCAGGTGCTGTAGGCTTAGATGTGTAGGCGGGTGTAATTGTTAATCAGAGAGCAGAGTCCATTTTTCATTGAGCTCGTTATATTCACTTATGCACAAATACCCTTGGGAAAGGTATAGATCCAGCCCTTCTCTCCCCAACTATGGCTTAAATAGTAAGATTTGTATCACTAAATCATTATTATCTTCAAAAAAATTCTTACAATCTAGAAGTATTATATATCAACCTACAAATGGTTGATAAGCCAGTGAATGAAGGAATTTTAGATTTGATTAATTGAGGGAGAGAATGAGAGAGCAAGAGAGAGATCTTTTGTTTTTTGTTTTTTTTTAAATCATGTAATCCAAAATGAAAATATTATTATCATAGAAACAATATTGATGAATAAAAATACCCAAAAGAAGAAAGTGTTCAGTACTTTTGACATTTGAATGTATTTTGAATTGTTTTCAGAGTCAAGAATAAATCCATTTTTATGATCCAGAGAAAGATATGAATTTTCTGAATTGCAATCAAAAGAATCATTTTGGTTTCCATTCTGGAAACTATGAGATTGTTCAAGATTTACCGCAACATGTTCTGACGGACAATCTCTGATGGGGGATTCTATTGGTAAAGATAGGTCTTGCATCGCAAAAGAACTGAAATGGAATTGATCTGTTGAAAGATAAGATTTTGTTGAGTCAGCCTCCTCTGTGGATTTGTCAGATCCTTGGAAATTATATTCCCAATCATTTGCCGTTTTATTTAAATTTTGTATATTTGTGAAATATTTAGCAGTTTTTAATGGCAGTAATGATTCTGAATTCTGATGTTGAGTTAATCTTGAATTAAGTTTTATTAATTCAAATGTTCGATTATTCTTATTTTCTTGGTTTGTTAAAAGAATGGAATGGATATTTGGCAAAGAAGCTGATTTCTCTATCAACTTATTCACACTTAGATTTTGTTCAAATCTTTTTCTTTTTATTTCTTCCCAACTTCTCCTCCGAGTGTCATTTGCACTTGTGCCCAAACCTTCTAAATGAAAATTCCAAAAGCATGTATTTTGGAAAGATGCTGTTTCTTGTCCTTGGAAGTCACATCCATTTGGAAAAGGAGATTTAATTTTGATTTCTTCCCATATTTTCTTCTTTTCTTGTTTTATCTCGAAGAAAGACACTTGTGCTTTATTTTCAAATGTTTCGTCAGTCGAAATATATGCGGAATCTAGCATAAAATCTTTCACTGAATCAGGTGTTTTCTGTATTTGTGCACACTCTTTGTTTTCATTTTGTCGATAATTAAAACATTCCGTTTTCTTTAAGGATTTCAATTGCTGATTCGAATTTTGTTCTTTGAGAATTTCCATTCTTATTTCTATTATTTGATGCCGTTTTGTCCCATTCCAAATGGCATTTGGAATGGTTTCATCATTTATAGTTTCATAATCTCTGTCTTGTGATAAATAATCGTTTCTACCTGAATTTCCACTCTCGTTTCTTTCGATATCTTTGTTGTCAAATCGACTGTGATCATAATTTTTTCTGGATTCTAGTTTTGTTATTTGTTTCAAGGCCAGTACTTGATTCGATGGAATCTTCAACAACATGGAATAAAGATTTGGTAAAGATAATGTTCTTTCACCTATTTTCTTTTTCTTGTTTTCATCTTTTTGAAAATTCCTATTTTTTAAAATTGAAATCTCTTGCAAACTTGGCAAAGAGTTAGCGAGAAAACTTTGCATTTCCCAGTCATTCGATTTGGATTCTTTGTCTAAAGAAATGATATCTTTAAGTGTTACGGGTTTCTCTTCAACTTGCAAATGACACTTTTGATTTTTAGATCTTCTTCCCTGGCTGTTGAAATTTGAAATTGGTGTTTCTCTTATTCGATTAGATTTTTGGTTTTGTAAGAAAATCAAACAATATTCAAGCCATTTCGAATACTGGCCGGGTTGTGACTTCTTCAGGGTATTGGATATGTAAAGAATTCCACAGAGAGATAACGCGCAAAGAAAAAGGTTCCAACAGAGGAGGATAGACAGGTTAGGCACGTATCGTGAAGACTTTGGCATGTTTTCCATTATAAACTTTCTGAAGACGGAAAAGCTAAGTAAGAATGACACTGATACATATATTCCAAGCCCAGATTCCACAGGAAATTGAAATACAAGAACAGTGACACTCGAAAGAGTCAGTAATGGAATAATCATGTAGAATACATAATATTTATGTCTTCGTCTCAGAAAAAACCTGAAGTTGATGCCACTATATGAATAAAGAGGGTGAGTGAAATTCTTGACAGAAGTGTTTGCAACATCCCAAATAGCACTTGAATCAAATCGATCAAGACCAACAAAGTCATGGCTACTGATAAGCTTCAGTTTATTCGTTGGTTGATTGGCCGTGAAATTAATGTCACAGATTTGAGTATCAAATGGATAAAGTTTTTCATTTAGCAAGCAGCTCACTTTAAGAATTTGGCTAGGAATCCAGCTGACGGTGCCATTTGACCAAACCTTAATAAGAAACAAATTATTCCCTAACCGAGTGGCCGAATTTGCTGAATTTCGGAGAATGATATTTGGGTGCCAAATTAAAGATTTATGAATGATGAAATTATTGATTTGTGAAAGTTTTGGGTTTGTATTCCAAGCAACCGACAAATGGCACCATTTAATGTGGCTCCATATATTGATGGTTAAGATTCCTTCCTCGTTCAGTTCAATGATGCTGCCTAAATGTAAATCAATGGAAACTGTTAGTGCTGATCTGTTCCTGTTTCCAAAAGGCTGGACATAAGGTGAATGATACAAGAATTTCTTATTGTACAATTCATACAGAATTTCAGTCGAGTCACATGTACATTGTATGGAGAAACGGACAAAAGAAAGTGTCAGAAAAACCATGGTCTTAATACCTTCCATAATTTTGTCTTAGTTTGATTTCTATTTTGTTAAATCTGAGCAGCTTGATATTTTGAAATTGCTCTTGAACGCCAATCAGTTGAGGATTTTGTATTAATCAAAATCTTTGCTTGAATTTAGAAAAATACTTTTAATCTTTCTTATCTGATTATATAGTCATTTCCATTCACTATGCATATGTATGTTCTTGGATAGATTATTATATTTTTAGATAAGAAGTTGTATCTGAAAAATTAACTTCCTTCTGGGAAAGGAGAACAGAGTAAAATCAATTTTAATCAGATATTTGAAACCCTTAAACTAGACATATTGATCCCTTTCATCCAAAAGGATTAATCAAAGTTTTAACAGACAGTAGATTAACAGTTCTGCTGTAGTAGATATACATCTCTACAAAACTGACATTGCCTTCTGTTGATATATATATATACATTTTCAATGTACTATGGAATGTTAATCCCTAGTGATTGTGTTATAACGACGCTATTTCCAAACCAGCATAGACATATAGTAGTGTACACTATGACCTTTTCTTGAGGTTTTATTCTATTGTGCATGTGTACGTGTGGTGGGGGGTCGTTTAGTTCAGTCTGTATTGTAGAGAATCTGTTGGAAACCAAAATGGCAACACCCATGAAAAATAGTTGTCAGTAACTTTATAGACATTTATCTCCAGTAAATGGCAATTTCCTATTTCCCCCCAAAGTGGGCCAATACAGCCAAGCAATAATGTTAAAACAATGCAGCATGAAAGTTTTAATAAATTAATTCTAAAGAAGAGGACTGAAAAATTTGATTTGTTCATTTATGATTAAATACATAAATAAAACAAAATTAACACTAAATTGACAAAATGATATATCATTGATAAAACTAAAAAAAAAAATTTGCTGTAGATAAAAAAATATAACAACTTGAATGTTACTAATTTTATAGGTAAACAATTATGGTCATAAGATTTTGAATTTTCTATTCAAATATTTGAATAAAAATCCATTTTTATTACGGAAGCCCCCAATCCTATTTTTGAAATGTTATTTTGTTAATTGTATTATCAAGATGTGATGTGAATTTATTGAAAAAAGTTTGAACAAAGTAACTATAAACAAAATATTTTTTTTGTTATCCTCTGCTAGCTGCAATGATGAAGAAAGGATTATCTCGCAAGATTATTATTGATTTCTAAATTAGAAAAGAAAAAAAAATGAGATTGATATATTTTAATGAATTGAACAGGTTATTATTTTTATTCTTTAAATTATGTGTAATTTAATTTTGCCTATTTTATCTCCTTTGAAATTTTTTCCTTTATATTTTGTTTTTATAAAAGTTAAGTTTTACTGCATTTTTAGGTTAACAGGAAAATTTCTAGAGAAATCAGCATTGCTCTAAAAATTAAGTATTTTTTATTTGATCATTTTTGCTTTTATATTTATTTGTTGCCTAACTTTATTATTTCAGCTAAAAAATATTTAGAAGATCATTAAACACTGTACTTGAAAGTTCCAGAAAAGCTATACATGTAAACAATGTATTATTAACAATGCAATCATACTTTATTAATCTTGTAAAATCAAATAAGGATATCGTAATTTATTTAGTAATAATACTGTCCTTGACATAATCATTTTTCAACTTCAGGAAATTATTGTTCATTATTGGCTTATGTCTTTGCATTCTACTTATTATTTCTTAGTTTTATACTTTATTCAATTTCAGAACAAGGATACAAATTTCAGTTTGTAAATTTTGTGTTTCATTTACACTTTACAGTCACAATAAAAGCAGTTAAAAAGAATAAGTTTGTTGTTGAATATACTGTGGATTCTAAAATCATTTTAAATTAAACCAAAATATAACATTACAAATGATATCCACTTTTATAAACGGTTTGATTTTTTAAAAATTCAAATAAACTTAAGTCGTCACCGTAAAATTCCGTCCATCTTCTCTTGTTTAAAATTTAACTTATTCTTTGTGGCTATTGATGATTATTTTTGTTACTTTTTCGGTAAAAAAGCTATTCTTTATTTCATATAAACTGATAATTTTTAAGTATTTGCTGACAAATAAAAACCAATGAATAGAGAATTAATGCAAAACGATG